TTATATGAAACTAGAATGCTAGAGATATAGAGTAGACGATTGAGAGCTTTAGCAAACTGAATAAGTGAGGACGAAGATGATGATGATTGGCTTTAGGCGTATATGCGTGTAGAGTATTGTAGATTATTAGCCATTTCCTTTCTCACTGATTTGTTTAAATACTTCTTGGAATAGATACGTTGCAGTCCATAATTCCATTTCAATGCTCATAACATTCTTTCCATTTTGAGAAGATCTTTGTCTTGGAATAAAGCCGTTGGTAGTTAATATGCCTTAAATGCAGTAACATTGACACTTCAGAATGTTCTGCTTGATGACAGTCAGAGTGTTCTTGGCTTTAGCTTATTCTGGCGTTTCTGAATGCTGGTGACATGATAAGTATCTTGATCAGAGTCAGAGTATGTCAAGCGCATATTCTGTTCATCAGGCTTCAGCGTAGCACATGTACTGATCTTCTGATGCTGATGTTGATACTGATGTTCTGCTGCTGATTGCATCAGAGTTTCCTGTAAATACACAACATAATTTTTAAGTAGCATCTATGTCTCATATAAAACTCATAATATTTAATCTTGTATTTTGTTATCATCAAAACTCTAACTGAGGGTTGTAGAATCAAACTATGTTCTAACATAAATTTCCCACTGTCCAAGGGAATCTGACTTTTGATTTACCCAAGACTGATTTGAATTTAACCAACAAAACTCCCCCATAAATTCAAATATTCCTTCGATTCATCATGCCTAGCATTTTCTTGCCTCTGTCGAAAAGCTCCTTCGGCAGTGGTTTTGTGAGAATGTCCGCTGCTTGATCTTTGCTTGCAACGTGCTTCAGGTCGATGCTTCCATCCTTCACGTGTTCTTGAATGTAATGAAATCGAACATCAATGTGCTTGCTTCGTTCGTGGTTGACTGGATTCTTCGCCAGTTCGATTACAAATCTGTTGTCAACTTGAATCATTGTTGCAGCTTCCTTCTTCGATTCCATCTTGCTCAGCAGTCTTCTCATCCATATTGCATGACATACGCACCAGGATGCTGCTTCATACTCTGCTTCAAAGGTCGAAAGAGTTACAATGAGTTGCTTTCTTGACAGCCATGTGAAATCAGTATTTCTCATGAAGAATACATATTCTGAAGTGCTCTTTCGATCATGAATGTCACCACACCAATTGCTGTCAGAGTAGCCAGTCAGCTTGTATTCTTATGCTCTCGAATAGAACATTCCAAGTGACACAGTTCCTTGGACATATCGAAAGATTCTCTTCAAAGCTTTCCAGTGTGCAACAACTGGTTCTTCCATGAAGAGAGTCACAATTCCAACACTCAACGAAAGATCTGGCCTTGTGCATGTGAGGTATCGAAGACTTCCCACCAAGTTTTGAAATTTATTTGCTTCGACACGCTCTCCCCTATCAAATTTCGAAAGCTTTACTCCTGGCTCCATTGGTGTTAAAATAGGATTGCGGCTATCCATCTTAAATCTTTTTAAGATAGTTTTCGCATACTTTTCTTGTGAGATGAAGATTCCGATTTCTTCCTGTTGAACCTCTAGACCAAGAAAGTATTTCATCAGGCCTAGGTCAGTCATCTCAAATTCTTTTGTCATTGTGCCTTTGAACTCTTCGATCACCTGATTATTGTTGCCCAAGAAAATCAAATCATCAACATAGAGAGCAACGAGCAGTATTTTATCTTTTTTCTTTTTCACATACAAGGCATGTTGGAAAGGACATTGCTGAAATCCATTTTCTTTGAAGTATATGTCAATTCGAGTATTTCATGCTCGTGGTGCCTGCTTTAGCCCATAAAGTGACTTCTTCAGCTTTAGCACATTTCATTCATTTTCAATTTTCATGAATCCAGGGGGTTGTTCGATGTAAACTTTTTCTTCGAGCACGTCATTCAGAAAAGCTGACTTGACATACATCTGATGTATTTTCCATTTGTATTAAGCAGCTTGAGATATGAGAAGTCGAATAGTCTCCATTCTCGCAACAGGTGTGAAGACTTCATCATAATCGATTCCTACTTTCTTCCTGTATCCTTTCGCCACAAGTCGTGCCTTGAATCTTTCGATTTCACCTTGTGCATTTATCTTTTTCTTAAACACCCATTTCACACCAATTATTTGACATCCTTTTGGCAACTCATCTAGTTCTCAAGTATCATTGCGTTCGATGGCCTTAATTTCTTCATTCATAGCATCTTTCAATTTTTGTTTCTTATTGCTTCTTCGAAGCTGACATCTTCAGTGTCTGCCAATAAACATGCAAGATGCACTTCTTCTGTGTTTTCATACAAGTCTTGTAAGCTTCACAACCTGGGTTGTGAGGGTCCTTCTTCATCATCAGAGTCTTCTGGATCTGTCGAAGTGTCTTTCGATATAGTATATGGTACTTCAACCACAACCTCATTCGAATTGTCCCAGTCCTACTTGCTTACTTCGTTTACTCGAACATCTCTATTGACTATCACCTTTTTGTTTATTGGATCGAAGATTTTGTAATCTTTCGTTTTTTCATCATACCCAATGAGTATGTATTTCTGACTTTTATCTTCCAGCTTTGTTCTTCTTTGATCAGGCACATGTGCATAAGCCACACTTCTAAACACTTTGAAGTGAGACACAGTTGGCTTTCGACCACTCCAAGCTTTTTGAGGTGTTAAATATCCCAGCTTCGAATATGGACATCTATTTCGAACGTAGATTGCACACTGTACAGCTTCTTCAAAACTCCTTCGACATGTTTTTGCTCTTCAACATTGATCGAACCATGTCAAGGACTGTTTGATTCTTCCTTTATGCTACACCATTTTATTGGGGTGAGTAAGCTGCCAACAGAAATCTTCTTATGCCTTGCTCTTCACAGTACTTCATAAAGGTTGTCGAAGTATATTCTCCACCTCTGTCTGATCGAAGGGATTTGATGTGTTTGTCTGTTTCTTTTTCAACGATTATCTTAAACTTCTTGAATACTTCGAAGGCTTCAGGATTTTCTTTCAGAAAATGCACCCAAGTTTTCCTTGAAAAATCATCAATGAAGGATATGAAGTACCTTTTGCCACTGAAGGATTCTGGGGTAATTGGTCCACATATATCAGTGTGGATCAATTCCAGAATTTGTTTGGCCTGATATTCTGCCTTCCTTGGGAATAAAGTTTTTGTCCGTTTTCCAAACACACATTCTTCACAGAATTTTCCTTCGAATTCTACATCTGGCAGTCCATGCACCATATTTTTCTTTGCTAACCTCCTTAGTCCAGCCTGGTGTAGATGACCAAATCGAAGATGCCACAGGGATGCTTGGTCTTCGATATTGACATGCAAGCACTTTTCTCAAATGCTTCTCAAATTCAACTTATTCATTCGATTCCTCCCCATTTCGACTTGAGCAACCAGATGTCCTAACTTATCTTTTAAATGCAGGCTTCGGTCTTCCATGAGAATCGAATAACCCTTTTCAGTGAGTTGTCCCAGACTCAAAATATTTGCTTTAAGGTTTGGTACATAGTACACGTCTTGGATTGATCCTATCAAATCATTCTTTTGTAAGAAACTGATTGTTCCTTTTCCTTCGACTCTTACTTTCGACGCATCTCCAAACGAAACATGACTGTCTTTGATTTTCTTTATGTCTTTGAACAAATGCTTATGACCATACATATGGTTGCTTGCTCCTGAGTTCAGGTACCACATAGTGTCATTTTCTGCATCTGCTTCCTTTTGAGTCATTAACAGAATTCCTTCATTCGATTATGTTTCTAGGGAAAGATTTGTTGTTTCTTCTACCTTTCTTCTGGATCGACAGTCTTTTGCAAGATGTCTCGTTTTACCACAGTTGTAGCAAATATAGGAGTTACAATCTTTCGCATATTGCCTCTGTTTGTTGAATTTGTAACATTCAATGTTGTTGTAATTCGATCTACCTCCTCTCTGGCCACGTACTCTGCCACGCCAGTTTTATTGGCTTGATTGTCCTCTGTCAAAATTGTTATTTTTGTAACTTCGACCACCATTACGTCCTCCACGACCATGTCCTCTCCCACGCAAATTTTGAGAGGAAAGTGCCTTTTCCTCTCTGTTGGGTTCTGCATCCTCAAGTGACTCCTCCTTCTTCTTTATTTTGCGCTGTTCATGTGCCTCAAACGAACCAGCGACTTCTTCGATAGTGATTGTTGAAAGTTCCTTCGCCTCTTCTATTGCGCATACTATGTTTTCAAACCTATATGTCAAAGATCTCAAAATCTTTTTGGCAATACGAGCATCAGACATTGCTTCTCCATTTCGATTGAGTTGATTTTCCACCGTTTGCACACGAGTAATGTAGTCTGATACAGACTCTGTCTCCTTCATCTTCATTCTCTCCATTTCTCCTCGAAGAGTTTGCAAGCAAACTTGCTTGACTCTATCTGCTGCTCTGAAGGCCTTTTCTAGCGTGTCCCGCGCCTCCTTCGACGTAGTCAAACCAATAATCTTTTCGAAGGCTGATTCATCAACTGCTCTGAACAGCATGTACAATGTTGTTTTGTCCCTTGCTCGCATTTCTTTCAACGCCTTGTTCTGGGCAGCTGTGTATGCCATCGTATTTGATGGTTCTTCAAACCCATAGTTAGTCACTTCTCATACATCTAACGATCCCAGCAGTGCCTTCATCTGGATACTCCAGTTTTCATAGTTCAACTTTGAAAGTCGTGGCAGTGGCATTTGACCCATCATATTTGCCATGCGCTCTGATACCAATTTGAAGAAATATGAAGAGAATGAGAGTGGACTATGAACTTTCTTTTCTTTTTAGATTTTGTCCAACTAACTTTTAATATGAGATACAATGTGATTTATATAGGATCACAATATAGAATATGATGAGTTTACAGCAATAACTATGTCTAGGTCCCTAAGGAATAAATTTCCCACTATTCAAGGGAATCTGATTTTTGATTTACCCAATAATGATTTGAATTTAACCAACAAACATCACCATCAATAATATTTATATTATGAACATGTAACCAAAATTTATAGATTTATGTAACCGGAGTTGGTAGTTTGCCAAAAAATACAACTAACGCCTATTACCGAGTTGGTGGTTTTGCCAAAATGTATAGATTTTTTCTTGTTTTTTTATTGAAAGACTATGATTGGTGTTGAGCACTATTAAGAAAAAAAGAATTGTGAAAGTAGTAGAAGAAGAAAAAATAGTTTTATTGAAACCAAAATATGAAACTAGAATTTGTGTGTTATCTGATTTGGCAAGTGCCTACTTGTATATTTGATGAACCTTGGTTTTAATGTTGCAGCATTTTAGAAACAATTGAACGATACCGCAGTCATACCAGGATTAATACTCCAACAACATCTGAATCACTTGAATATACTCAGGTTAACTTAATCACATAAATTGTGTTCCTATTCATCATCTAGAATATAAATACTTTCTCAATATGATTGTGTTTCTATATGCTTGATCAAAGAAAATATTTTATAGATGTTGGGAAGTATGTGTTTCTCTGAAATGATTGTTCATAGTTGTTTGCCGTTATTAACAGATTCTTATTATGTAAATAGCATTTTATGGACATTGTTATTTGGAGTGAGAGACTTGAAATTTGAATGAAACTGTCATATATATTACAGCGTTTGAAGGAAGAAGCAGAAAACATGATGAAAAAGATTGATCTTCTCGAGACTTCAAAACGGTACAACATCTCGAATTTATATTCATAACTGACAAATATTTTTACAATATTCAATGTCTAAGATGAAAATATGTCGTGTTTGTAGATATTTTTTAGGAGAAGGTTTAGGGACTAGTTCCATTGATGAACTACAAAGGATAGAGCAACAGTTGGAGAACAGTATAACCAATATTCGAGTTAAAAAGGTTCGAATGATAAGAAAAATCTGATAAAATATAAAAGTTTATAAGTTTATCGAATTTTTTTACTTATAAACTTCCTATTTTTCAGAACGAGGTTTTCAGAGAACAAATTGAACAGCTAACAGAAAAGGTAACCTTTGTTTATATTATGTATAATAGAAAGAAAAAAAATCCTACCTAGCATTACATAAAGATTCTGATCTTGCAGAAATTATTTTGAATACATTTCAGGAAAAAACCCTAGTTGCTGAAAATACCAGGCTCTCTAAGAAGGTGAATTCACTTTTTATCTGATACTAGAAACATTCTCCCTTAGTTTTATGAATCTTTCGGTTATTGCAGAATAATAAAATTCCGAATTCTTGTGCAGTATGATAGTTATTCATCACAGCAAGCAAAAGATGATGATAGAGAAAATGCAGATCAAAGTAGTCCAATTTCAGATGTAGAGACTGAGTTATTCATTGGTCATCGAGAAACAAGAACAAGGCGCATTTCTCCGAAATTGAGGACTAATTAACCCCTCTGATCTGATTATGAAAAGGAAAATAAGTGCAAGGGAAAATGTCCCATTCTATATTGGATATGTTTCCTTTATTATGATAATAAATTGTATTGGTGAATTCTAAGACTAGTGATTTCTTTCGTAATATTCTCATACAGTCAAACCTATGGTCTAAATGATTAAGTTGTATTGATACTTTAATACCAGAATCTTGGAAGTAAGCAGTTCCACTGTACAAGGAAAATTGTTGGCATGTTTTTAGGTTTTTATAGGTAGGAGTTTCCTAATTTTTTTTAACGTCTGTTGTATTAGAATTTAGTTTAAATATGTTTACAAATTAGTGGTCTCATTTAGTGTGGCTAGCTACTTCTCAATATATTCGTTGATGAGAAGGTTGTAAATATGTTGGAATTAATCGATAAAATAAAATTATTGTTATGTTCTTGGTTAATTTGAAGAAAAAGAAGAGGAAATAATTATATTGGTTTAAATTGGTGGAATGGTCTTACTATCTTACTTTCAAAATGTTTGAGACTACTATCTTAAAAGTGGATTTTTTTTTCTTATTACAAAATGTTTAGTGAGTTGGAATCGGGGTTCACCAAGGTCAGGTCAGGACACGTTTCAAAATTTAAAGAGTGTTTATAAAAATAATTACATATTATCTATAAAAGAGAACTCATATCGGCAACATGAGGTGAACCGATGACATCTAATTGCATGAGTCAACTCTTTATCAGCTAAGTCAAACTTTATTGACTCTTGGAGGGGTTTGAGTATATGGGTCCTTTGGATATGTGAAGTTAAGGTTAGTGAAGTCGACACATATCATCCATTTCTCGTTTGCTTTCTTTATCAACAAACATTTTCTAACCACAATGGATACTTGATTTCTCTAATAAAGTTGGTCTTTCTCAACTTGCATACTCCACCTTCTACTTTTCTTCTTCTTTCATCTCCTATTTACGAATTCCTCTAAGACAAAAGCTTCGCAATCAATACAATGTCCAACTCGTGGTTGATCACACTTTCCTCTATGTCGGGCATGTGGGGGTGGTTTTTAGGAGAATAGATCCGTGTTTTTATGTAGTAGCATCACAACGAATCTTTCTTGCGTCTCTTTTAAATATATCCAGAGATTAGTGATTTGGGGGGAGAAACATTTTGAAGTCTTTAACATCCTCGATGATGGCAATTCTTGTTTTTCGAAAGTATTCTCAAAGATCCTTGTCAACCATGTTCTACACAGGCTTAACATCATTAGAATTGGAAATGTTGGGGGAAGGGATGTGCCTTTAACATGTGTAGTTTTGAGCTTCATCCTATATTGGAAACACCGTGTGGAAACATGCTGAGTGCATTTCCATTCTGAAATCCAGAGCACTGATTAACGAAACAACCTTCTTCTGTAGCTTGGCGAAGCTTAAGAGAAGTCCCTTGATCCCATGACCATATAACCAATGATATGTATGTATGCATATGATAATGAAGTATAAGCCAAATTAGGTTGAAATAAGAGAGTAAATTTTGGGGTACAACATAATACAATCCAGATATTTTTGATTCGGATTCTAGTACCTACCTTACTTGGGAATGCTTACCATTTCATTCATCATATGACTTCTAAGGGTTATGGAGCCTTCACATGTCATGCACCTTTACTGTACAAGTCGTTTATTTCGCACTTGACGCAGTCCAGACTCTTCAAAGATAACCAAGAAAAACTTAGGTGGTCTTAGAGGCTTATGTCCCTCACTCAGGAAGATATGACTTGGTAATATCCAACATATGCTATTGGAGTTATTATTGATAGTTGTTGGGAATTACCTAATGTACCTCTTATGGCTACACAAAGGGGAATTAACAACAATCTTATTCTTGCTAGACGCCAGTTTGAATATCCTCTGAGGACAAACCTGACACCATTCTATTAATGGGTTTATTTTTCCTTAATAAAGAAGTGAGCTCAGATATTAAGAAAATGGTTATGCTTGCTTGGTACAAGATTCATAACAAAGACAAAGAGTAGTTAGGAAGGAAGCATTGCATTTCTTTTTAGCCTTACACTCAATGGATTCATGCTAGAGCTTGTAGTGTCAATATGCATTATCCTCTCGAGAAGCCATTCTTCCTTGTTGTATCACCATCACCTTCTATCATTCCTATTGAGAATAGGGGAGAGTTTTAAGAAGCTTTGGCTAGGATGAAACATGAGAGAAATGCTTAGAAAAACAAGTTCCATGCTTCAAATCTTGAGATGATAGAATTACAGAGGCAATTAAAAGAGAAGGATGATTTGATTTAGATTCTTGAACATCGTGCTTTGGAAGGACATAAGGAGCACGTGGATTCATTTTCCACTAGCATTCAACCTGTTCTTAGTGTCCATGATTATTCTCATATTCTCTCTACCCCTAGTGCTTGTAAGGGTGTTATTGACAAGCTTTTGATTGATAATGCTCAATTGAAGTCTACTTATGAGAGTCATATTAGGAGGCTTAAGAGGAAGTATCAACATGGAGTGAGATCGTCTTCAGATGTGGTTCTTTATGACCCTTATATTCTATCTTTATTTTCTCTTTTAGGATTCTTTGAAACTTTGTACTTTAAATTGTAATCCTTCCAGTTATTAATGAAATAAGAACTTTCAATATTTCAAAAGAGTTATTCCTTTTGATATTTGCAATTATTAAAATATCTTAAAGTTCCTTGAAAAATTGAAACAATTAAATCATTTGCATTGCATGTCATGCATCATTTCGTACTTGATATTTGCATTCCACGAGTTTTCCAAGAGTAATATTCATTTTTCTTGGTCTTCATTCAGTCAAGCTGTCTCATCCGTATAACACACGTGCAAATCACAAGAGAGGAATGGATAACATCGAGCAAGAAAATAGGGAAATCACGGAAGAAATTACCACTTTAAGGACTAGTATAATCCATCTTACCGCTCTAGTTGAATCCTTGGTTGCAGCTCAAGCCCAGAATCAAGCTCCTCCACCACCACCTCCCCAGACTCATATTTTTTCCTAGCCTTAGGTTATTGTGATCTCTGAAGTTGTTTCTACTCTGGTTCATGTTATTCCCGTCAGTACTGCTGCACAATATAAGATGCCTCATGGATTTCCTTGGGGAATGCCTGAGAATTTTGTTCCCAAAGGTTATAATCCAGCTGCAGAGGTTCCTCCTCCTATTTAACATGTCATGGTTACCGCACCCCATGTTGTGCACACTACTCCTTTTGTTGATGATCAGATTTATCATGCTGCTGCTGCACCAAGTGAGAGCTTGGGAATTTATGATCGTATGAATGATTTCCAGGACCTTTCCGGGAATTCCAGAAGGAAATGAAAGCTCTTCGCAAGAAAGAGATATTTGGTAAGAATGTTAGTGATATCTGCCTTGTCCCCAATGTCAAGGTGCCGGCTAAATTCAAAGTTTCTGAATTTAAGGAATACAAGGGAAACTCTTGTCCATAGAGTCACCTTGTGATGTATGTCAGGAAAATGTCAATCCACACCGAGGATCAGTGTCTGTTGATTACTTTCAAGATAGTTTAACTGAGGTTGCACTCAAATGGTACATGGGTCTGGACAGAACCAACATTCGCACTTTTAATGACCTTGGAGAAGTGTTTTTTAGACAATATAAGTACAATGTAGACATGGTGTGTGACTGTGATCAACTCAGGAATATAGCTCAGAAAGATAAAGAATCATTTAAGGAGTATGTGTAGCGTTGGAATGAGGTAGAAGCTCAAGTTACTCCCCCCATAGAGGAGAAAAAAAATTACCAAAGTTTTGAAGACCCTTGGTTCATTTTATTATGAGAAGATAGTGGCCAATGTGCCAAGTGATTTTACAGAGATGTTTAGAATGAGTATTCGTCTTGAAGAAGCTATCTATGATGGTCGTCTAATAAGAGATGAAAGTTATGGTAGTGGCGCTAAGAAACATGGTTATGGCTTCTCTAAAAATAAAGAAGGAGACACTAATCCTATCTCTCAAGGGAGGTAGAATATGTCCCGTGGAAGAAATCATCATCATCAACAACATGTGGCTTCAGCTACTCCAATTGTCAAATAGCTCCTACAAAAGTTTCTTATCAACCACCTTAAAGGATACATTAATAGTCTTAACAGCAGAATAATCAAGAACAAATTCAGAAGAGAAAACCCTTCGATCCTATTCCTATGAGTTACTCTGGGTTGATTCCTGCTTTGCTTCAAAAAAACATAGTTCAGACTAAGGATCCTCCAACTATTCTTGAGAAACTTCCCTGGTGGTACAAAGATGATGTTACTTGTACTTTTCATCAAGGTACTCCAGGGCATAATATAGAGAACCGTTATCCGTTGAAGTATGGGGTTCAAAAACTAATAAGGGGCCTAATGTCTTTCAAAGATATGGGGCCTAATGTTCAGGAAAATCCATTGCCCAAGCATGTGGGAGGTGATATTAATATGGTATATGGCTGTCCTGGTGGCTATCGTATCTTTGATGTGAATTTAATAAGGGGTAATCTGGTAGAGATGCATGCCACTCTTTGTGGTCTTAGTTACTATGAACATAATCATGTTGATTGCAAAATTTGTGTGGAAAATCCTCGTGGGTTTTCTGTGGTGAAGAGAGATCTTCAGTATATGTTGGATAAGGGTCTTATTCAAGTTTGCAGGAAAATAGATCATGATTATGGAGTGCGTATGATTGATGATGGTAATTCTGGAACTTACCAGGTTTTTGATGTGCATTTGATAAAAAGATATTTGGTAGAACCTCATGTAGAACTATGTATGTTGAAATACTGTGAACGCAACCATTTGTCTTATTAAGTTTATCAATTCTCTATTTTGTTGTGATTGGAATTATGTTTAGTAAAACTAACTTAGCATAGAAATGTTGAAATAATGTTTTTATCAACTGGAGCAACATGTCGAATGTGATCTTCTATGCAGTTTCTTTCGACATCGAGATTTTGTACAACTGGAATGTTTGGTATTTTAGTTTATTATA